CAACAAGTGATATCATTCCGGACTTTTGCTTGTGATCTCCCTCTCGGATTTTGATCCGCCTCGGCCTTGATTACGACCTTTACGGCGACTTCTTCCTCTAGTTTCAGTACTCAATGTCGAACTCGAATTAGAACCGAAAGATTCTATCGAATTTTTCCTGCGAACATCTTCGCTTAAGATCAAGTCACGGATGTTATCAAGCTTCAACTTGTTATTGCTTGCGAATTACTTACTGCATGAATGAGTTGCACCCCAACTTTCCGGTAGAGATGATAATAAAATTAATGCTTTCACCTCATCATCAAATATTATCTCGCACCGATGTCAACTGCGCAATAATTGCATTAAATTCACTAATATGATTAGTAACCGAGTTACCTTCACCCATTTTGAGGTTGACTAGCCTGCGAATCAAATGCACTTTATTGGCTGCAGAGGGCTTCTCATACATATTTGACAACGCCTGCATCAAATCTACGGTTGTCTTCTCGTTCATGATGTTGAACGCAACATTCTTGGCTAATGTCGATCGGATCACACCAAGCGTCTGCCGATCTAACAACTCCCATTCTGATCGCTCCATGTCGGTTGGCTTACGCCTGTCAAGGGTAGATACAACTTCTTCGATACGAGATAATCTTCCATCTCGCATCTTCCAGAACCCGAAGTCACCGCCATCGAACTTCTCGATCCTCACCTTTCCTTCTTCCAATGCCATTGCTCTCACTGCTTTCGAAGAAAGCTCCCACTGCTTCTCTAAACTGAGATTCCCAAGAAAAAAAGACCAAATCTTTTCTGATGTGGAAGATCAGACAAAGCTGCAACCATAGAGCATACTAAGAAAATTGGCTCTTGATACCAATTTTTAGGAACAAGACAATAATAAAGGAAAGAATAAGGAGAGAAAAATAAATGACACAAGAATTTTAACGTGGTTCGGCTAAAATATGTATGCCTACGTCCACGACTACACTAGGAAGTATTTTTATTTCTGTGTATTTCTCAAACTTTACATAGGGTTGCTTATATAACAAAATAGAGAACCTCATCTCACAATCCTAATCGATGTGGGACTAAATCAAGCACCATAATACTAACAATTCTCCCACTTGGAGTTTGATTTACGTTACCACCTAGTGTAGTGCCTTCATCATCAATTTGCTCGAAGGCCAGTTGAGGCAATGCAAAGCCTCAACTTAGTTGTTGTAACAGTCTTGGTCAACATATCAGCGGGATTCTCTGCACCTGGAATCTTCAACAAACTCAAGTCTCCATCATTTATCAGGTTTCTGATAAAATGATACTTCAATTCAATGTGCTTACATCTGGAATGAAGGATTGGATTTTTAGCAAGACAAATAGCACTTTGACTGTCACTAAACAACGGAGAACCATCTTGTTCTCTTCCTAATTCTTTTAGAAGGTTCTTCAACCATATCATCTCCTTCGCTGCTTCTGAGATAGCTACATACTCTGCTTCAGTGGTTGAGAGAGAGATATCCACCACCAATGTGATGATGCCAAAAAATAATGTTGCAGATATTAAGATCCCATGGCCTAGTAATTTGGTGACTGAGGTTTGGCTTACTAGCTAGTGGCTTGATGGCCACCAATAATGCTATATCTATTCATATCTCATTGCCAAGTGATGTGTTGGTTGTTTAGGGGTTTGGCCCCCCTCCTAGTGGCTTGAAGGTCACAGAATAATGTGATAGATAATAGGATCTCTTTCTGTAGTGATGTGGTGGTTGCTTAGAGGTTTGGTTCATGCTATTTAATGCATCCTCCAATGTGTGTATAGGATAGATAAAGAAAGAATGAAGGAAGAGAAGAAAGGTGATGTGTGTTAGGAAGAAAAAGAGAAATGGATATGTAACATATGTGTTCAACGATGTAATGAAAGCAAGAAGAAAAAGTGAGTGTCAAAAAAAGTTCAATGAATATGAATAATGTCTCTAAGATTTTGGCGATTGGAGGAAGAAGAAAACTTACTAGAAACTTACTTAGTGTGTGTAAGAGAAATAAAAGAAAAAAAAAATGATGATCCAATTATAATAGTACAATGGTCCAAAAAGGAACTCCCCTTCAAATGGTCCAACACTGCCATGGTTTTGCTTCCTTTGAGTTGTGTGTGGGCAATGCAGGTGAGTCACATTCCTTACCCGACCACATCACTGTTTATTAATATTTGTGGGTTCTTAATTTTCATGACTGAAATTTGTGTTATCTAATTAATATTTTTGTTGGCAATTTAACTTTAGCTACAAGTTAAATGTTAATTTGATGTCATTGATGGTTACTTTTTAATTGCTAATACTAATTCTATTTTTTTATACAAAAATTACGGATAAAGAGTTGGATTTTAGTGACAGGAAAATCAAGATTTAATTCTCCTATAGGCCCCTTTTCAATTATAAATGTTTCTTGCTTGGTTACTAAGACTATCCCAAATTTTAAGATTATAAATTGTATAAAGGATGAACTGAATTATTGATTTCACCATTTTCACTTACATGTTTTTTATCACACAAATTTTCGTTTAAAAGATCCAAAATTTCCAAAAAAAAAATCTTTTTAAAATAGATTTATAAATAGCTCCTTGTTATCATTTCAGACAACATCTCATGCAAGATAAAAGAAATACACAATTAATAATAATAATAATAATAATAATAATAATAATAATAATAATAATAATAATAATAATAATAAACCTGAAAGTAGAAATCAAAGTTGAGTACTTGCCCACACGTGTACTGTTTGGTAATTAATTCCAAACGTAAAAATAATTTAAAAATAATATAAAATTAGGCAAAATAATTTGCAAATTAGAATCCAAATTCAAGAAAAATAAAAATAAAACAAGGAGATTGTGACGAACTATGTAGGACATATTTTATGGGCAACATATATGGGTGAAATTAATGAAATAATATTAATTAGTAAAGAAGTATGCATGAGTATGACGAGTATGATGCTGGGTGGAAAGGAAAGGAAAGAAAAGAGTGTCCATAACAGAACAAAACGTTCCATGTATGCATAGACAAAACAAAAAACCACTCATTCTGTTGGGAGCTTTAATCACTTTCGTCCACGTATAATTGACTGCTGTCGGTGAACCCCTTTCAAGTTCAATGAACTGAACTCTGCCTACTTTGCAATGTCACTCTTTGAACTGCTTATAAATGACAACACATATTATCATTTTAACTCTTTTGAAGACACATCCTTCATATGGTTTGCAGGGTTTGTACCATGACCAACCAGACCAATCTGCATGTTCATGCCCACACCAGCAACCCTATTAATTCTCGCTTCCCAAAATCATCTCAAACTGGATAAGTAGACAGACAATGGCACCTGTATAAACCAAAACTAGGGCTACCTCCACTCCCACAACTACAATATTGCATTATATAACATAAGATGAAACATTAAAAATAAATGAAAAGGAGGGAGTAGAATTCAGTTTTCACATGCATATAAATTTGGAGTTTGATCCTCAACATTTTTTAGGAAAATTGCACGAAACCCACATCCATTCATTTTTTTATTACATAATAAATAAATATTTTTAACAATAAACTTTATTCTATTTAATTATTGGATTGCAATTCCACACCACACCATTTCTTTTGAAACTGTTGAGCATCCGGATCTATCTAAACATAAAATACTGCAACAAGTATTAAACTACAGTGGAACAAATTTTGAAGATCGAATAATAACTAACGCATAATTTTATATATATATATATATATATGTTCGAGTCTTAATCAACCCATGGTCACATGTTAATAAATTTTGTTATGAACACTTACCAATTAGTATCAGTAACTAATGAGGTGTAGTGTAAGAAAAATGGAAACATCGAAGAAGGAGCGAGGAGACAGAGAGCAGATTGTGACGAAGACACTTCATTGATAAAGCACTGTGATCAGAAGTAGTACCAGCTAGGTACGTGCTTCACGTGCGTGCCTCTGTTTTCCATTGTTTCCACCACCCATCGTTACGTGCACCTTTGACTGCTCCACCACCACGTGACCCAACTCAACATATTTTCAGCCTTCCTTCTACCTTCCCCTCCATTTTTTATGTCTACATTTTAGGGTTGAATGATTTTTTTTTTTCACTCTTTTACTATTTTTTTATATTATTAAAAATATACAATTTTTAATATATTATATCATACTGATGACTTTTTCATAAATAAAATTATATATTTGTCGATGATCTAATAATATTAAGATGATATAAATGAGTCTAATAAGATTTATTAAGTTATGTTATGTTTAATATAAATTGATTTTGAAGATAAGATTTTCATTTTATTTCCAACTGAGCAGATTTCATTAACAAAAACCTAAAATTGGTATTTTTAAATATTTGTCCGTGTCTTTTATTTCAATACTTAATATTTAATAATATGTTAATTTGATCTTGATATATATATTTATTTTATTATTAAAATATTTACAAATATATCGGTACGTGACACCTTTAAAATTAAAATGTTAAAATCATTAGATAACAAATAATTTTCAAGGCCAAATTAAATATTAGAATAAGAACATTGATTATTTAGGAAAAAAATACCTTTTAATATAAACCATTTGTAACTTATTTAACTCTTATTTTATAACCACATTTATGTACACGTACTTTTCAATCCTACCTAATTGACTAAACAACACCAACCATATATGGCATTATTATGTTTCAAAACTTAAGGAATTATTATACGACAAAATGCAAAGTAGTATTCCAAGTGCTAAAAATATATGTTATATATATATATATACAGGGAGTAAGTGTATGTATTGAAGTGAGAACATGAAAAACGTGAAAAGTGTTTACCTTTTTTGGCATTGAATTCATTATAGCTTTATCTTTTTACAAGTACTTTGTTCTTAATGACTAGCTAGATTCAATGTTTTACGGCGAGTCAACAAGATGACACTAGCTGGCACTATCTAACTTTACCAAACTTTGATTCCTCAATGGTGATTAAGTGGATAAGAGAGAAACGTATTATCCCAGTAAACAGCATAATAATGATGTACTATATAACTTCATGTTTATAAACGTCTTTCTAGACAACTAGATTTTCTTCTAAATGCTTCCAATCTTATATATCGTTTTCACAAATTTAATTTCACACGAAACTTTAAGAGTTTTACAAGCATCTGGCACACATTTTACACAGATTATGTTTAATGTTAATAAGCTGAACAAATATTATTACGAGAAACTGAATTTCCAAGAAGAATATGGAAGATACATTGTTTTTGTCCAATCTTCATTCTCTACTCAAAGTCCAAATCAATAATTTTCCACCTTTTACACTTTAATTGGACTTGAGTTCGGAAGATACGAAGAAAAACATGAAGAAAAAAAAGAAGAGCTTTCATGCCACAACGATGATGATTCATATAAGAAGACGGTGAACGGGAGTTTCCGAGAGTTATAAGGCTTTTTTTTTTCTTAACCTTAATGTAAACTGTCTTAGTGTCAACATTTTACCCGAAGCTAGTTTTCTTTAAGCACCGTTGGGGTAACTAAACCTGTATCTTTGAGCTTTCGTTCTTGTGACCTAGCAGGGTGTATTTTTATTTCGTTCATCTAGCTTCTTTTAGCTTTATTTGGGTTGAAGTACCCCTTTGTACTTCTATTAATTTTATTCTTTGTTGCCGATAAAAAAAAAAAAAAAAAGAGGTAAAAAGATAAAAGGAGAGACGAAGACTAGAAAACTTTATTGCATCCCTAATTTGACGAAGAATTAGCAAAACTATTTTCCAAACCCAAGTGCGCAACAAGAGGAAACAAAAAAAAACTATTGTGGCTGCCTAACCATAATGCCATTTTTTTATCGTTAATTTGGCTTGTTGTTTAAACGGTATAGCCAACGAATTTTCTCAAAAGTTTGGTGAAGTCAAATATGATAGTATTATTAGTACATGTGAGTGTAATTTGGCTCAATTGGTCTAAGAATTCTCCACTCATACGTTACTCCACTTTAATTTTGCAACAATTTTTTAAACATCATATCCCCATATATAATTGGTTCAGTTTAATATCCTATGAAATTATGAAGAACGAATAAACAATTGGGGGTTTGAAAATGATACTTCCATATATACCCATAACGTGTTAGGTTCTACATTTCTTTATGCCATCTTTTTACCAATATCGGAGTAAAACCTAATTACATATATACATACGCATCACTTGCGTTTGTGACATGTATAAGTTTGAGCCTAATAAAATTCAATGCATTATTAATTCATAAGAAACTTTCTTTAACTAGAAAAAAACACTGACCAATTAGAATTGAAAACACTCTAGGTTGTACCTCGTTAACTTTGTTATTCAATTTCCTTTTGAATCGAATTAGGGTTTCAAAAGGGGTCAAGTCAAGCACATAGTTTGAACAATTTTATTTTTTATTTTCTAATTTGAATAAAGAAATCACAAAGTAACCTATGAAATTATTTTCGACCTCCCACGGAATTTTGAATAGAAGGATAAGAAAATGTCGGTCGAAACATGTTATCATAACTTAGATTCCAAGCGTTAATTATTGTGATGGTTACTAAGAGTCCGGTTTTCTCTCACTTCATTGTTAGTAACAAATAAAGTGGATTATTTATTGAAACGTGATCACTATTTTATGTTAATTAGCTGAATAATGATTATCATGAAGACACATTAATAAAGAAATGCACCGCCATTGGCTATAATAAGTTATAGTCATGACGAAAATAATGAATTTTAGTCATTACAAATAATAAATGAAGAGAGTGTGACAAAAAAAATTAAGAGTAAACAACAAAGAAAAAAAAAATCCATAATTTAAAAGCTTCGAACCTAAAGACAAATACCTTCTTGTAGGTGAAAATATTTATTCCATAAATACGCCAACAAAATATCAACTATGAAAGGTGGACAACAATCTAACCTAAAGATTTCTAAGACATTTTTCATTAAACAAGTTCAGATAATTTTAATCAAAAGCGATTTTGAAACCATAGCATCAGATTTGTTATAAAACGTAAAACACACATAAGTATATAAAGAAATTTGGATAGGAAGTTTCACTGAAACGGGCACACCCTGATTGGCCCAACATAGTTTATGGTGTTCAAAATGTTGTTTGTTATATCTGAAACTAAATTGTTATATAAATTTTTCTTAAATAATCCTATAAAATTGTGTTTCTCTTTCTCTTTATTTCTCACTGTTATATCTATTAATGGTTTTGCGCTTTTAATTTGACAAACTTGTGCTAGGGTTAGGGTTTACAACCGCATGTATATCAATAAGTAATATCGTATTTTCTTTATTTTTATATATTTATTAAAGTCCTATATTGCTTAGGAATTTGAGAATAAACAAATAATATATATTTTTTTCTAGTTATCTTTGTCCAGTTCATACACCTCAAAAGCAACTTAATTCCTTTCTTCTGGGTACGTTCAGTTTGACCATATGCCGTCCACATCATTCATTATTTCATTGCCAACACACCCCATTTAATTCGTACATGTAATAATCAATTTCATTATCTCATCACCAAATGCTTGCTCTTTTTTAGTTTTTGAATTTAATTTTGAAAGCCTTCATCGACACTGTTTGAATGTTGTACTCTTTTGTCCTAATCGGAATTAGAATGTAATTATTATGACGTAAACATAATCATATTGATGATGATAAGAACAACACAAAGTCACAAACAGTTGGAGTGGATTGAAATTTGGCATTGACACGATATATTTAAGCAATCATGATATTAAATTTTTTAAAGAAATTGTTTCCTTACCATTTTAAAAGGATTGGCCGGTGTTAATTCTTCATTAAATTGCTTATGCTTCTATGTTTCTCCATAATTCTGACAATCATGATCAACCCATAATTCTTATCACACAAGAACATCGATTCAGAGGAAACAACATATTCAGTATGATCAGAATATTTGTCAGAGACACAAAACTGGAAACATAATTATCCGCTAATAAGAAAAACAACTCCACTACATCTGTTCCTTTTTACGTATAGTTTAAGGTTTATTATTTAAAATAAACCAATAAATGTGATTTTTTTTTCATAAAATTATTATGAAATTTTTATTTTATCTTTTTTACCCTTTCGATAAATGTAATTAATTAAACATTTGGTAAAAAAAAAAGCATTTTCTTCAACTTTAAAAATGACAAATGAAATAAAACAGATGAAATTTCTAAAAATCCAATGCTTTTAAGGAAGTATTAGTTCTAAAAATTTATCCAATTATCCGCGTCCCCTTCATACATGTCGAGCATGCAAACGAATTTCTGTGTAGAGAGTTTGACCATGTGCCTTCCGCACACTCGTACATGCAATCATCAAATTCATTTCCTCGTTATCCAATAAAAACCAATTATTATGTGCTCTTTAATTAATTATTCTTACTGTATTAGAGAAAAATTAAAAAAAAAAAAAAACTCATCCTTTTACGGAAGACGAACAGAGGCAGTGAAAATGAACAATGAGAAAGTGACAGCATGATTAATTTTGTTATCTACTCTCGTGCACATTGATGAAAGCTTGAAGTGTATAGATGTTGTAAATGAATTAATAAATGTGTGAAAAATGAAGATGTAGTTGATTAAAAATGATATTTGATGAATACTTTGGGGTGCGTAGGGAAAGAAAGGATAAGGGGAAAATGGCATAAGCATCTGTCTCACGTGGAAAAGAATTGTTTTTGGGGGAGAAGAGAAATGGTTTAGGCATCGTTGTCGAGGGCCAACAATGGTACCAGAAATGGGTTCTGTGGTTGGTCGACGCGTATAATGTTCCAAAACGAAAACTACCAGTGTGCTTCCTTGGTTGACATGCGTGGTCCCTCACCCACATTTTCCTGCCCCTTTTTCTGCCTATGTCTACGTGACCTGGACCCCCACTTTGCCCCCTCTCACCCCTACACCACCCTGTTCACCCTTTTTCTCCCCCTTTTCTTCAACACCCATTCACCTTTTCCTTACTTACCACTTTTCTTCATTAACAATGTTTTTCTTTCTCCTTCTAAAATCCAAACCAACTCACATTTTAGTACCACGCTAAACAATCATATTATTTGTCTTTAAATATATCAAATTTAATTACTTCTACCAACCACCATTACCTTCAATAATTATGTTAATTCACAAATTTTAAAACAGCAGCTTGGCTTCATTACATTTATTCAATTTTAATTGTACAAAATAAGTCCTCCAAAAATCGTAAATTGTGAATTTCGTCCCCCAAATGTAATTATGTTACTTAGGTCTTTTAAACAAGTCATGAGTCAATGTTAAGTCGGTAAATTTTAACTAATAATGAACTTAAAGTTGAACAATTGCAATAACTTAATATCTCAACTGGAACAATTCGAACTAACGAAACTAAAAGCATATTAATTATAATATTTGACAAACTATGAATCACTAAAATTTCTAATTTCTATTTTTTCGAGGATTAAAAGTGGAATTGACTAAAATAGGTTTTATTATAATTTTAATTATTTGAGCAGGTGTTTGAATTGTTATAAACTTCCTATATTATATATAAAAAGAAAAATAAACAAAGATGTGGAAGGCTTAGGATTACATCCAAATGGAAATTTTGGCTACAAGGGAAAGTAGTTTTGTATTTGGGTGCTTGCTTTATCTTGCGTGTGCTATGACTCGTCAATTCTATTCTTACTCGTTTCAGTCAACCATGTCTTGTTTGAAGGCCCAACCTAAACCACGCTCGTGTCTTGTCACCAATATGTCCTCCAATTCTCAATTAAACCATTCAAAATTCCTACACTTTCCCTATGCAAAACTTAATTTACTTACTGCTAAAAATTAATATTTTAAATTTTGCTTAATATAATTCACGGTTCAATTTCAGAATAATGTCTCTATACACAAAATAATACTGTGTGACAACTTTTCAAAAGGTCTCAAGTTCTTTTCTCCTGTCTTTTTCTATGTCCATTTAATTTAACAATGACTAGAGAAAAAGGACAAAAATATTTTTTATATAACATACTTCCTCTTTTTATTCTTAGCTTGTACCAAGTTAATATTATCTGACTCAAGATAAAGGACAACATATTCCCAACAAATTTCGTTCCATACAAAAAAATACGGTACTTATCGCGTATGAAAATTACACTACCGTCCATTGAAATTTAATATTCTGAAGACATTGAATAAAGAATATTTAAATAAAAACTTTCAATTTCCACGTAATTGTAATAATAATAAACATGTGTATTTCGTCTATTAAAAACCACTCTCTAGATTCTCTTACAAACAATCCAATGCACGTTATAGTATGGACGGTACACGGCAGCAGATACATAATATAATCTTTTTACTTTATTGTTAAATTAAAAGTATAAAATAATCCTTATCTCACCACGTGGGTCCCACGTAGATGACATGGCATGGTGCAGCGTGTAGACACACACGCCCCGGTCCCTCTCAGTTCCTCTATATAAACTCTGCAACGTGCACTCGTCTCTCTCACTGCAGAACCACTTTTCTATCTCCTCTTCTCCTTTCAAAAAGAGTAACTAAAGAATTCTCAGTTCGATCAACACCTCTTTCATTTCGTCTCTAACTATTACCTTCATTTTCTTTAATTGGTTACTTTGTGATTCTATCTATGGCTGTGGATTCTGTGATTTCGTCTCCATTGGGTCCACCGGCGTGTGAGAAGGACGCCAAGTCTCTGCGGTTCATTGAGGAAATGACCCGAAACGCCGACGCCGTCCAAGAGAGGGTGCTGGCGGAGATTCTCACTCGCAACGCCCACACAGAGTACCTCAAACGCTTCGAACTCGCCGCCGCCGCCGACCGGGAAACCTTCAAGTCCAAGATTCCCGTCATCACCTACGAGGATGTCCAGCCCGAGATTCAGCGCATCGCGAATGGCGACCGCTCTCCTATTTTGTCCGCTCACCCCATCTCCGAATTTCTCACAAGGTCATCATCGTTATTCTCTCCAAACTTTCTTTTTATTCACTCTTACATTTTCAATAGTCACTAATTATTCCAAATATAATACAACAAAAAAGAAAATACACTTTTTTGAAATAAGTAAGATTCAACTAATTTTGTTGTTTAAAACTACGGCACAACATTTTTTTGTGTGTGTTTAAATTATTATTTATATTTTAAGATTGGGAACTGAAAGCAATCTGGGATTTGTGTTGGGAATCTGAATCTGCAGTTCTGGGACTTCAGCCGGGGAAAGAAAATTGATGCCAACAACTAAGGAGGAGTTGGATCGTCGCCAACTTCTATACAGCCTCCTAATGCCAGTTATGAACCTGTAAGTTTCATCACCAAATAATTGAGCTAAAAAAGTGTGCGTCCCCATCCTTTCCATTTCTTAGGACAAACACGTGGTCTATAAAGTTCCAATGGCTGAGATTTTCTTTTGTTTTATTACCTATGTGAAGGATCATACTGTGTGAATCGGTGAAAGAAAGAAATAAAGACAAAAAAATCTCAGCCGTTTTTTAAGCCACGTGTTTGATGGATATGCACCAAAATGGAATCAATTTCTCTTAAAGAAATGAGAGGGAAAATAGTACTATACTCTCTGCTCTCTGATTCTCCTGTGTCTATTGATGTTTTCCGTCTTTACTTGCCAAACACCGATTGCGCATACGGTTCAAAGTAAACAATTGATTTCAGAACTTTAACTTTTATTTTTTCTGATCTGGAACAGTTACGTGCCGGGTTTGGACAAGGGAAAGGGCCTATACTTCTTGTTCGTGAAGTCCGAAACAAGGACACCGGGTGGGTTACTGGCCCGCCCAGTTCTCACAAGCTACTACAAAAGTGACCATTTCAAGACCCGACCCTACGACCCGTATAATGTGTACACTAGTCCAAATGAAGCAATACTCTGCCCCGACTCATTCCAAAGCATGTACACTCAAATGCTCTGTGGCCTCATAGAGCGCAACCACGTCCTCCGCCTGGGAGCCGTCTTCGCCTCCGGCCTCCTCCGTGCCATCCGGTTCCTCCAACTCAATTGGCCCGAACTCGCCCGTGATATCCGATCCGGAACCCTAACTTCCAGAATCAGCGACCCGGCAATAAGGGGATACATGGAGAAGGTGCTAAAACCCGACCCGGTATTGGCCCAATTCGTGACCCAGCAATGCTCGAAGGAGAATTGGGAAGGGATCATCACAAGAATTTGGCCCAACACAAAATACTTGGACGTGATCGTAACGGGAGCGATGGCCCAATACATTCCGACGCTGAACTACTATAGCGGAGGATTACCCCTTGCATGCACCATGTACGCATCCTCGGAGTGTTACTTCGGATTAAACCTTAATCCCATGTGCAAGCCCTCAGAGGTTTCGTACACCATCATGCCAAACATGGCATATTTCGAATTCCTTCTCCACGATCCCGATTCCGGGTCTATCAGTTCAGAATTGGTGGATTTGGTCGATGTGGAAGTAGGGAAGGAATACGAGTTGGTAATCACCACCTACGCAGGACTCTACCGGTACCGTGTGGGCGACATCCTCCGAGTCACCGGATTCCACAACTCGGCGCCGCAATTCCACTTCGTGAGGCGGAAGAACGTGTTGCTGAGCATTGACTCGGACAAAACGGACGAGTCGGAGTTGCAGAAGGGGATTGAGAACGCCTCGAAGCTCTTGGCTGAGTTCAACACAAGTGTGGTGGAGTACACGAGTTATGCAGACACAACAACGATTCCGGGTCACTATGTTATTTACTGGGAGTTGTTGAGCAAGGACTCCGCGAACTCACCGAGTCACGAGGTGTTGAATCGGTGTTGTTTGGAGATGGAGGAGTCGTTGAACTCGGTGTATAGGCAGTGTCGTGTGGCGGATCATTCCATTGGGCCATTGGAAATACGCGTTGTGAAGAATGGAACTTTTGAGGAGCTTATGGATTATGCAATCTCAAGAGGTGCTTCAATAAATCAATACAAGGTACCAAGGTGTGTGAATTTCACTCCCATAATGGAGTTGTTGGACTCTAGGGTTGTGTCTGTGCATTTCAGCAAAGACTTGCCACATTGGACCCCTGAAAGGAGAAGGTGAGGTTTTTCATATGTGGCCTTATTGATTGGGCTTGAGTCAAACATGTAGATCTAGATTTTGTCATTTTTTTTGGGGGTAAGTTTTCCTTCTTGGATTTCTGTGTAGCACTTGTGATTAGTATGAAAGGGGAGATCTTGAATTAGGGTGTCTCTTGGTTAGGTTAATTATGTATTGCGATTGGATTAACTTGTGCAAAAGATGTGACTTTTTTCTTTTAGAAAAGTTATATAATGTATGTATTGGTGTTTTCACGTAGAAGTGAAGGAATGTAATAGAGTAGACAACATTTTATTTGGGCAAGTAAAATTGTTGAATTCATTTATGTCATTATTAAACTAAGGTATATAGTCAGTTCAATTAAAGTATTACATTATTGTGGCAGTTCTATAAGCCTATATACTAACAAACGGAACTTTATCTGTTTTATTTTTCTCTCATTCTTTTATACATAATAATAAAAAAAAAAACATGTTCTTCTATGTTAACTTTAGTTTTCTTTCCTCCACCAAACTACTATAAATGATACAATTGTTTAATATTTTGTGAGTAAGTTTTAAACACAAGTCTTACATTGACTAAACAAGGAGAAATAAAAATAATTTCATTCTTAATTAGGAAACTATAATTTTTTACAAACTTTTTGTGGTAAGTTATTGACAACTTAAAATTTCTTGACGTATGTGCTTTTGCATACTCAAACCATCTGGACCAAGTATTTGTCAATCCTATTTTTTCTTATTCATTGATGTTATTTTTCATCATTCTCCTTCGAATTTCCAAACCTAGATCAACATAATTTTGTTGCTCGGTAGTTCTACCACTTTAATTCATCTTAGGAAGAACTTGTTGTATCCTTCAAAAAACTAGCATTATTAACAGTGACATATATTTCAAACTAACTATTTTCTACTTTTATTTTTTGTTTTTTTCAACAACAATTAGAATAAACTCGTCCTGTTACAGTACTTAAATCAAATTAATCTTCATGCCTATCAGATTATTAGAGGAAACTTGTATTTAATCAACAACAAAAAAAATGAGACACAAAGTGTTTAATATTTCAAAGGAATTCAAGACATAGTTATTCTAGTAATTGAAAGCAACAGTTTCATAACGCTTTAATTAACATTTACGCTACGAAATAACAACTACACTTTTTATGTCGATAAAATTGTTACGTTTAAGATTTCATACGGGGTAAAAATAAATTTTCTAGCAATGACTAATTTAAAAGAAGTTAAATTATATAATTGGTCCATATACTTTTAACTGATTTAGATTTTAGTTTCTGAACTGATTGAATATATTTTTTTCAAGTCCATGTAGTGAATAAAAAACATCAAGTCCATTTAACTAAAATTGGGCTTCATGGGTATTCGGCGGAACTTCCAACCACAATAAATAATAATAATAAAAACACCCAAAGAAAATGTGATTCTCTACTCTCTTAAATGTCCCATTTAATATTTTTTATATTTATTCCTCCCTTTCATAAATAGAGGTCTCTCTTTACTTTTAAATTTAGTTAATTTTTTAGGTATGACTAATAATTCTTAGTTTATCACCATCATTACTGCACTTACTGTCTTTAGTTTGATGTGAATTCATTTTTCAATTTATTCTTTTAAATAAAGTTAAATAAACCTTTATTGAGATAAATAAAGTTATTGAGATAGATGTATGTTGTGGAGCAGAGTATTTTAAAGAAGTCTTCAATATCAACCTTTACGACTTTTAGGGGAAAAGAAAAAGTATCCAATTGAAGTCGAGTAAAGAAGAAGGTATAATTGTAATTGTCACTTAATCTATTTGGGAGAATAATGCTGAAAGATATGTAGACTCTTGGAAGATATTCCAGACATTCTTTTTGGTATGTAAATTTGCATTTCACAAGCTCAGACATGAAAAAACATAAAATGTGCATAGTAAATTAATGGCTACATTCCACATCTTACCATATATACTAATGGTCTACTATTTTACAAACATAGGACATAATCCTAATGCGTTCATAGTTGCACTTGACTACAAATACAAGGGTAGGTCGGGTACATTTTAAAATGGGAGGAATATAATTTTTTTGGGGATTTGCGTGTAATATATCCCTAAAATTCTGTTGATACTATTTAAACTCCAATTAAGCAGGTTGCAATGGTGACTTGATATATCTCGCATCAGATAGAGAAGCTTCTCTTCCAGAGCTGAGTTCGCCAGTATTTGATTCAAATACTTCACAGGTTGTCATGTTCGTAATACAGCAGATCATTAATTAAGAAGATCAACCTAGTAAGTCGTAGTTACTATTTGATTACAGCCTGGTGTAGGCTAGACGAAAACCTGCAAGACCAACATCAGTTTTTTCTAAGGATTTTAGCCTCTTATTGGTTAAGTACAACATAGTAATTAACATACAATAAGAAGTGGTATTAAATTTTTTAAACATGTTTATCAGAGTAAACAGATACTCAAGACTGCATCACTTACCTGTGTAGTTGTGTGTTCTGAGCCAATAAGAGGTTGCTGTTGAATGTTTTCAGCTACAAGATCGATTTTGAATAGGCATAAATAGTTGCGTTTTCTGACAAGCCTTCAAGAAAGTGGAGATTATTTTACTTTCTTGTGTGGTGTGAACCACATTAAGGTTGAGAAGAGCTCACAGACCATACATTAACAGAGGGTCTGTTTACCTATTTTCCGCTTACCCAAAACAGACTCTGGCAAATAGCTATCAGCTAAAAACCATTGAATTGAAGTAGAAATGGTGTAGAACTATATATGACATCGATTCAGGATTAAATCAAACAGACTGCTAATGTACTAAGATTGAAGTAGTTGAAGTGGACGTAGCACTTCACAAGCCATCAGCATGATGGCATAAAAAGTAGAAGTCACAACATCCCTTGCACCTTGTAAACTGATAACTGATCAAATATAAATTGCAGTTGTAGTTGAGCCGCGATAATATAAATTATGAACAATTGTGGTATGTCCACGATTGTACCTTTGATATCATCAAGGAAACCTTTAAAACCGCAATAGATCAATTGATCATTTACTTAATTCGGAGATTTTATGACCCCTACTGACAGGGTTCATGTAGAGAAGCGTGTAAGGAGGGCTACCATGGTCCAAACCATAGTCAACCCTCCAATGATTATCCACAAGATTAAATTTCCAGAGAATAAAACTTTTGTCATTACCAAGAAACTGAGTGTAAAAGAGAGATACCCAATTATTTCAACAATAGTTGCAAGCCTTGGGTAGGAACGCTTGATAGTATCATTGTTTGATACCAACACCACAGAGAGTGAAGCTGCAAATGCAATCACCATGGCAGGTCCAAGAACAAAAGGATGATCCTGGGATGTAAATATTGTTTGATACCCTAAAGCAGCAAAGGTCAAATATACAATTTTTGGTGAAAGATTTAAGGGGGTCTTAGGGGGGTTGTAGTCTAGTTTTTCCACCTCAGTTGCGCTAACATGGTACAATGGCAAACAATCAGAACCATGGTTCTGAGGCACTGATAAAGTTAAGGACCTGATTCTGGTTATACTGGTGGGTGAAGATAGAGGGAGGTTACCTTCATACTGATATTTTGGAAAGTCAATGCTTTTCCAAGCATTCTGAATTATTCTGTGGAAAAAGGGAGGACCAGAAGACATGAAAAACGACCAAAGGAGAAAACTAACTTCAAATTCTAGCCGTGTTGTTTTGTGCATTGTCAAGTGTAGTTTAGTTTTCTATTTTATAATGAGGTAAGGAACATTCAAGAAAAGCTAAACTTCTCTTTCCAAGCAATTGCGAAACACTTTGTTTCTTGACCTCTGTCTTATCTAAAAATTACCAAAAATCCAGAGAATAAATCGACTCTAATTGGACATGTCAGAGAGAGTATAGAAAAAAAAATTGAGAATTTAATATCAAGGTATGAAGAGTAATTAAGATTAAATATAAAAAGAAAAGGTAAAATATCGTTCACGAATTAAAAGAGAAGAATATCAAAATTTATAATTTTTATAGTTATTTTTACTATTACACAAAATAATATATAATATAAAATAAAAGTAAAAAGAGTAATTATTAAATTATACAACTTAAAAAAAATTAAAAATTGGAAATAAATATTTTTAATGAAATTATTTGTAATTTAGATGGTTATTTTAGTTAATTTTTTTTTATAATTTTTGTTTTATTTTTTATAATAATTTAGTTTTATTTTTATATTATTTAATTTTTTACATATTATTTTTTTAATAATTTACTTTTATAGTTATTTATTATTTTTATAAATTATTTTAGATAATATTAAATATAAGAGTGGTACGTAAACAATCTTTTATTTAAATTGACTGAATATTGAATTTTGAGTAAATATGTAAATTATATTAATTATATCTAACCGGACCTATAGTATTTCTAGAATAGGTGAGTTAAACTTCAAGTTCTTCCAATCCAGTTCAACTACATACATCATTTTAAAAACACATTTTTTTAAATAATAATATACAACTTGTTGACTTAATAATTTTTTTATTGTGCGATATAAAATAATTATATATTTCATTAATTTTATATTGTGTATGTAATATTTAGGCATGGTGGTTTTCTTGATTCACCTCCGATTTTTTTTATTATTCCCGTAGTCCATAGACATTAAATTCATATTCCTATTTCGAGTTTTTTTTTCTACCCGTTATTATTTTATATTTTTTAAAATAATTATTTATAATAAATTGTTTTTAATATTTTTAATATATAAATAAACATTTATAATTTTACAAATTTTTAATTATCATTATTAATTAAATATATATTTTAATTTATTATATTTATATTAAATATATATATAAAATAAATATTTAATTATTTTAATAATGTTTATAATATTATGTAATTATATTATAATATTATATTCAAACATTTAATTACATAAATAAATTAATTATTTTTTAAGTTATAATTTTAAAATATTAATAAATATGAAATCTATAATTTTTTAAAATATTTAATAATTTAATTTTTATTTAATTAGTATAAAGTAATAAAAATTTTATCTATTAATTTTTTTATTTTTTTAATATATAATTATTTTATTAAAATAAAATTTGATAATAAATAAGAATAATAAAATCTAAAAAATATGACATAACAAAATTTAATCAAAATAAACTAATTATTATTAAGATTGATATAAAATATTAAAAAAAAATATAAAGAAGAAAAATTAATTTTATTGTGTTTGTGGAATTGATTAAAGGATTGAAAAAATTAAACAGATTGTAAAAATTAAGAAAATATAAATAAAATGTAAAGAAAAAATAATAATACAATAAACTAGTTGATTAAAAAGATTAAAAGAAAAAAAATAACAATGATTAAGAAAAAAATAAAAAGTGTAAATATTAAAAATAATCTTTTATATAATATAAAAAATAAAATATTTTTAAAATATTAATATTTAAATATTTAAATATAAAATTAAGACAATAATGAAAAAAAATACTATTAAAATTATATTATCCGTACTGTTCTGGCCGTTGTCCCATCTCATCTTGAAAAAAAAAAAAATATATATATATATATATATATATATATATATATATATATATATATATATATATATGATTTTATCTCTGTTAACTCGGAACGAAATGGGATCAAAGCATGGTATCCATAATATCAAATTTTATATACTATGTTAATAATTGATGCCGATCCATCTTTGGTTTGAATTTATGGGTTAGCAAGGACATAGTCTTAACTTAGAAAACTTTTATTGTGTGGAAAACTACATGAAGAAATGATTAAAGGTGTGCTTTGCACATAATAGTTCGTAGACCTTTTCCTTATAAAGATGACATGTCTGTTTCAAGGATCTTTAACGAAGTTGCACAGCAACAAGTCCATACATAACCCACTATTCCTCTCCTTTAATCACATTCATACTATTTATCCTTCGCAACCAACCCCAAATAGTTTTATAACAAGTATATGTGGCATATTCAACATATTTTATTATAGATTCAAATTTATTAAAAATTATAAAATTAGAACCTAAATTTATTAAAGAAGATATCGATCCTATTCAAATATGTGATTTTCAATATGTTTTAAATAATAATTTAAAATGTATTAGAAAGAATGTGCTAAAAGAGTATACTGTTACATTTTTATGTCTTTCATCAGAGACGGACCAGGGGAAGTGGGTGACCACGCTCCCAAAATTTTGATTTTTTTTTATATATATAATTATAAAAAATTAAATAAAATTATTTTTTAAATATAAACAATTAATTACTATATTTTTTGTAAATAATAATAATAACTTTTTTTATATAATTTTCTTTTATATATTTTCTCTTTTTATTTTATATATTTTTTATTTGTTATTCTTTCACCTTTTTATTTTTTTTATACTTTAATTTTAAATATTTATTTTTGATTTCCATATTTCTTTATTATTCTTTCACTTACCTATTTTAATCTTTCACAATTTACTTTACAATATAAAAAATTATAAATTTTTCTTTTCAATTTTCACATTTTTCTTAAAAAATATTTTTTATTGTTTTTATTTACTATTATAATATATTATAGTATATATTATTTATTATAAATTAATATTTTATGATGTTTAATTTTAATATTAAAATGTAAAAAAAATTAATAATGTCTATAAAAAAATTTATATATTTATTTTTTTAAGAAAAAAAACTATATATATATATATAATAAAATAAATTTATTTTATTAAATTTAAATTTAACGAATAATATTTAAATATTATTAAACCACTTAAATATAAACTATATAATGATTAATTATTTTTATAATATAAAATATCATTAAACACGGTTAAAATTTCATTTTGATTTTTTTAAAGAAATAAAAAATAATTTAATATATTGTTTTCATTTTCTTTTTTATTCTAGAATTAAACTTGATATTGTCAACGAGTATAAAGTATTGTTCTCCTAAAACGTCTATTATGTAACCTAAATACCATACTTAAAGGAAAAAAAGGAAAGGGAAAAAGAGAGAGCAAAAACCGCGGGTCTGGGCTCCCACTTGAATATTTTATGGTGCAAATGGAACAGGGAAAAGTTGAACACAAGTGGTGGTAGAAAAAAGAATCTTTTTAACTCACCCAATAGAATTTATCAATCATGTAGATGAGACCCCTTTGTATTTGATTGAACTAGTCAGGTGCATCTTTTCATTTCTCATTCACAAAAGAGAGGTTACGGTCAGAATCAAATTCACACCCAATATTTATATTGTCAGAAGTCCACCACACTCTTTACTTTGGACCCCATCTCAGCTTTGTTATCCTCCATTTTCTTTGTTTTCCATTTGGCGTAGTTTCCTTGAAGCTTCTTGTGAAAGAGACCCAAAACATACCTTGTTTTCTAAATCTTCCCACAGGTTTCCTAGAAACATCTCTCAAATTTCCATGAATTAAGTGGGATAACAGCTAACTGTATATATACATGCTTCACATCCACCCCATCCAATATGGCTTAATTCATCTCTCCAACCTCTTTGCATTCTTTCAGACAGCAATGACTTTCCAAGAGAAGACCATTTATCAAACCTCTTTAGCCTCAATTCCCCAATACACCCTTTTAGAGTGTGTCTTAGGGCTCTGCTTTACAGTTATCACCGTCCTCCTTCAGATTCCTTATGAGTACGTAGACAACAACCCAGTTCCCACTATAATCTTCAAGGGTCATCCAAGAACCTTCCATGCCTTCATAATATGCATTATCTCTGCCTTCTCGGGTTCAACCAATGCACTTGTGGCATTTAATAAGTCAAACTTTTCTAGGTTCTGTGGGTATTATGCCATGGCTTCCTTGGCCTCTGCTTTCGCAATTCTCTTGTGGGCACTGTACTGCACGTGTATCAGTTAGAAAGGGCTGGACTTCGATTCCAGAACTATCATCGTTGTTTTGTTTGTTGTATCTTGAAAATATTTTAGGCTTCAAGTTCTTAGGAAGCAACTGGTTTATGTGAGAGCCAGTAATTAAATCAAGTAATAATTGATTGATAATTTATTGGGTAAATAAACATATTAAATAAAAGTCTTCAGCTTTGTCCAGCTATTTATGTACTTCTGGTTCCCTTGTGTTAATAATCATGTGGTATGTTCAGACTTTAAATTTGGAACTCTTGCAATTGACCAAATCCAGTCTAGGAGCATTTGAGTTGCGTATAACAGAGAAAAAAAAAATAGCAATAAAGAAAGAAGAGTTATTTCTATGATACCAGAAACGAAATAGTTTATCCAAAACTGTTCAATGAAGATAACAAAAGCATGCAAAGATAGAAAATTGGAACAGGAGGATGTTGGGATAAAACATAAATGCTAGCATTCATTTTGATGTGAAAAAACCCCTGCTTGTATATAAGATTATAAGCCTTACTATACTGATATTTTCACACACAAATATTTGTATACAATCTTATTTATTAATATTATATTTATAAAATGATTGATTTAAAAATAAAATTAATGAAAAATTAATATTTTATTAATAAATTGTTAAATGAATATCTGTTGATAATGGTTTAATCTATCTTTTTCTATATTTTACTAAGGAAAAAATTATAGTTGAAAAAGTAGAAAGTATAAACTAATTATATAAAAAAAAATACTATTTTATTTTAAATTTAAAACTTTAAAGTATCATATTTTTATTTAAAGTGGGATTTAAAAAACATACTCGAATTCCCACGAAATTATGAAGTTTTAATTAAAGTATTTTGGGAATTTTGCATAGAATATATTCTTTGAATGACTTTACAAAGTACGTGACAACTGGGTTCAGTTTTATTCATGTAAAAAATTCACATGCCTAGTATTTAAGATATGGGCGAACAGATCATGTAACATATGTTGACAACCAGAAAGGGCCCAATTGTCAACAACCCAAGTAGCTGGTGGACCTAAACATAACAAGTTTTGGCAAAGTGTGTATATAACGGATATTCGTTGGCCCAAAGCAAAGGAGAAGGAAGGATCCGGGAGTAATTATATATATATATTTAATATTGAAAATATTTGTAAAAATAAATTCAACTATTAATAATTTGCGTAAATGATTAATTATTGAAAATATATTCAAATGATAAGTTAATTTAAATTATTTAATAAATTTATTTAAGCTAAAATTTAATTAATTGATTATAATAAATTACTTAAGATTAATATTATGACATATATTTTATTATATATTATTTATGGGTCAAAATTGAAAAAAAAATTTAATAGTTTTCATAAATGGTTAACTTTATTTAAAATATTTAAAAGTTTACTTATTCATTATATATTAGGAATAACAAAATATATCATGGAATCGATTCACCTAAAAAATATGAGATTGGTTGGTATTTGGTAATTAGTTATAGTTTCACAATCTATTTTGTCTTACCCCATCTAATCCAATAACTCAAGTTAAGGGTAAAATGGGACTGATTGATCTATTTTAAAAGAATACTTATATTTTAAAATTAAAATAAAAAAATATTATAATTAAAAATAATTATATTTTTTCTTATGTGATTGAAATATAGAAATATAATACAATATATTATTATAATTTGAATAGTAAATGTTAATAAATTAAATTTAAATTATAGATTATAATGAAGTATTTTAATAAATAAATATAATAATTTTTAATTTTTTTAATAAAAATATTAATTACTAAATAAATAAAATTTTAAAAATATTCATATAAAGATATATTTTAAAAAATTATATATAAAAGTATATATATTAAGGGCTAGCCCCTGACCCACGAACTCCTCTTTGGTTGAACTATTACCTAATTCATCTAATTATTACCTGCTCGCCTTTTTCCCACCCATAAACTAATTATAATATAAAAAAAATTATAAATTTGTATCTTCATTATTAATAAGTTATGAGAAAAAGAAGCTAATGAAATGATAAATTAATGTAAATTAAAAATAAAATAATTTATTATAATAAAGAATTTAAAATTAACACTGCGATGCATATTTTATTATATACTATTGCATAAAATTTGGAAAAAAATGGAATAGTCTTCATAATAATGAATAATAAAAAATATATTATATAATTTAAATAATAAATTTATCAAATAGATAATATAATTAATTGATTGAAGTTAATCAATTAATTAACAATAAATATATTTTTTATATTTAATGTATTGATATAAAAATTATTGAGAGATGTTTGATATTGAAATTAATATATAATTAATTTTCTAGATTTGATTAAATTATTATGGAGCTTGATAACATATCCTTGTCATTTATATTAATTAACTTAAAGTCTTTTTCATTATATATATATTTTTTTATTTTATTTTTCTATTTTCTTATTTCGGAGTTAATTGTGAAATTTATAACAGAGATTAAATGCTTAATGGTTAATATAGTAACACAATAATCAAAATTAAACAAATTTTCTACTTAAACCTTGCGTAGGAAATATCAATTTTATTTATTTTGTACGACATATTTCATAAACTATCTTCTTTAAAATTAAATAGCTAACTAGTGTTATATCATAATACCTATAGAAATATATATCTGCAAATTTGTATAAATATTACGTTAATAACAATAGAAACTATATAAATACTTAATTTTAAAATTATTTTACTTTTCTACATATGTATATATTTAACTTTATTTATGTATCAAAATCTATACAATCATGTTAATTCATCAAACTCTATATAATCATATCAATATATGTTCACAGTTTTTCTTTTAAAACAATCTTTACATAAAGTAAAGATTTTTTAATTAATTAAAAAAAATTTAATTCAGTAAAAAAATATTGTAACATCATATAAAAAAAAATTGTATTTACTTTTTATATTTTGAACAAGCATTAAAATTAACACTATTAATTATGGAATATTACCTTAATTCTTTTTTTTAAGTATAATAGTGGTTTTTCAGTTTTGTTGCCCATGTTTTTTGCCACGAGTATGGTTGTAAACGAAAAAGTTGCAGAGTGTGTAACACTTACGTCACCATCGAACTCAGACTGGGAAGGTATGTGGTGCCCATGTGTAGCACACGCCATACACAAGTATCTCACATTCTTCACAAAAATACCCCTCAAAGTCATTCACTTTCATGTTCAGTCACACCTCCGCAAAGGCTAAAAGTATAATTTTATCAGTTAACTCATTCACCGGGTGCTCCATGATATTGTCATTCTCTTCCCTTCCTGGGATATATAAACGACCTTCAATTTCATGCACTCACTCACCCAGCTATAGTTTCAAATGGCACTTAACAACCATCATTGTTCAGTTGTAACAACTTTCATTGTTTTATTTCTCGTCGCGGCGGCGCTTCCAGTCAAGGCGGAGCAATGCGACTCCAAACATGAGGGACGCTGTCGCGACAAGGCTGAGTCGCTGAAGCTGAAGGTCATAGCGATATTTTGTATACTGGCCACGAGCATGATAGGGATTTCGCTCCCATTGTTCTCCCGTTCAGTTCCCCAGCTGCGACCGGACCGCGACCTCTTCATCCTAGTTAAGGCTTTCGCCTCAGGCGTCATACTTGCTACCGGTTACATGCACGTTATGCCCGACTCCTTCCAATATCTTACGTCGGAGTGCCTACCGGAACGGCCGTGGCGGAAGTTTCCATTCACCACCTTCATCGCCATGGTCTCCGCGGTCCTCACTCTCGCCATTGATTCCTATTCCATCAGTTTCTTTAAGAAGAAGCTCGCTGCCACTACCGCTAACGGTTCCGGTTCTCTTGAAACCGGAGAGGGAAAGGAAGCTGAATTGTTCGATCATGGCGATGGACATGATCTGCATGCACATGGCCATGGACTTGATTTGCATGCACATGCAAATGGAGATACGACAAACGTGGATGCAGAACAGTTGTTGCGGAACCGAGTTGTAGCTCAGGTTAGTTACTTTTTTCAATACCAAAACAAAATTATTGTAATTTTATTTGGTTGATTAATGAAGTAAGATTGATAAATAATAATATAAAAATCTAAAAATAAGTTGTTGAAAGGATCCTTTTATTTTGTTAAAATATCATAACTCTTTTAAAATTTAAATAAATTTTAAAATTAAATTATGTTGTCAAGTTTAAATAGAATATCAACTCATTTACGTCTATATTTTCTCAAATTATATTAAAATTCTAGTTTTATTTTTTTTAATTCTATATACAAATATTTTCAAAAGTTTACATCGTCATTCATTTTTATAGTACACATACATCTTTTTTAAGTTTTAAAATATTAATTTTATTTTTTTATATTGAAAGAAAAAATAAAAATTAATTTGAGATTTTTTTACGTTGAAAAAGGATTTAAGGAAGTGCAATTAATATTAGTTTTCATTTCAAATTTAACTTTAAATTACTCATTGATTCTATTCTTTTTAACTCCTGTATTTTTTTGTTAAAATTTCAAGATGTTATTAATAAATGTTTTTCCCATTATATCCTTATTTTTACCTAATATTTTATTAATTTACAGTACTTTATTTATCATAAAGTAGAATTGAAAAAACGATAAAATAAAAAATATAATTTATTTAAATTAAGAAAATTAATTGTATTTACTGATTTCCATGTAATATATTAAAAGATGGAATGATATAATTTTTTTAATTATTCAATAAACTTTTATTATTATTTGTGTGAATTTTTTTATCAAATTCAATCATTTTTTAATGAAATATTTCATTACTCCCTCTTTTCCATGTCTTTTTAATGTTTAAGGTTATGGCATATGAATAAAGAAATATTTAATAAATATGAATTTCTATTAAAATGTCCTTATTCGATGATTATATTCTAAAATAATTGAGTGGTTTTAAATAATTGTATAATTTTGGAAAAATTAATTAATTATGTTTTAAAATTCTAAATATGAACTTTTTAAAAGAAATAAAAGGTTAAAATTATAAAAAGAGATGGGAATGAAGAAGTAATAAATTGTGATTATGTTTTTAATTACAAAATGATATTATATATTTATCTCTTTTATTATATTACTGGTTATTCGCATTCTCTCGTTAGTCATTAGAGTTTAATTTGATGTTGTGTGTGGAATGATTTAGGTGTTGGAACTAGGGATTGTGGTGCACTCAGTGGTGATTGGTTTGTCAATGGGAGCTTCCCTAAACCCCTGCACGATTAGGCCTCTCATTGCTGCGTTGTGCTTCCATCAAATGTTTGAAGGAATGGGCTTAGGTGGTTGCATACTTCAGGTGATGCATTTATCTTATTACAATATATTATTTCTTCATGGCACTTATGACATATGATTTATGTATCATTTATCTTGTTTTAATATGAAAAAATGTATTAATATATAATTAAAGTTTTTATTAGAGCGAGTGTTTCTTTATTATAAGAAATTTGGGATGAGAGTGTAATTTTCTGTGATTGAGTATAGTTTGTTCCTTTTGTGACAGGCTGAATATGGATTGAAGGTGAAGGCTATAATGGTTTTCTTCTTCTCTACAACAACGCCGTTTGGAATTGCATTGGGGATCGCATTGTCAAATGTGTATAATGACACAAGTTCAACGTCGCTTATTGTGGAGGGGGTTCTGAATGCTATATCTGCAGGACTTTTAAACTACATGGCACTTGTTGAGCTATTGGCTTCTGATTTTATGGGGCCTAAGCTACAAGGCAGTACAAAGCTCATGGTCTTGGCGTTTGTGGCAGTTTTGCTAGGTGCAGGGGGCATGTCAGTCATGGCAATATGGGCATAGATGCTGAGATTTCATTTTGTAGAGATTAGAAAGTCACACTTTAGTATCTGCGGAAGAATGTGTCCTGGTTTTAATTTATTATATGAAAAATTTAGTTGAAGAGTTAAATTACATATTTTTTTTTGTTTATGGAAGCACTGCATGTGCATCTCAACATGCTAATTATCAGGCTCAATAAGCCAAGCATAAGCTGAACCAGATTTATAAATGCCTGTTGAACCATAATTACAAGAAGCCTTATACCTTCTCCCAGTCTCGGTTTAATCCCTTAATGAATTCATTAATTGTATTGCCTTCGTTATACTTCGCCACACGCAACGTAAGAATCGTCTGGCTTTGCTTTTGTTGTCAAAATGGACTTCCATGCATGTACTTGGCATTAAGAGCCCCCACCCAACACTTACTTCGTTAAGTCATGATTTTCCAAATTCGCTTGCACAAGAGGGAAGTGTTTGAACTTCTTGTGTCTCAAACTCCAAGACCTCCCTTAATATCAGTCTTCAAATTTTGTTCCATGACCTTGAATTCATAGGAGACCATAACATGACTTACAGACAATTATGGAACACATCGCTTGAGGTTACCACAATGCACTACACATAATTAGTATATCAGTAGAGGTTTATTTTTACCCTTTTTTATTAATCGCTTCATAATATATATTTGTCACTGAAAAATTTAACCGTTGTAATCAATTAATTTTTCAATTTCAAAATTGTCTTTCCCCACTGGACTCTTTCTCGCTTTCTCAAGCCTCTTCATCGAAGTTTCGCACTTTTTTATTCCTAACTTATCTGTTCCAAGCTTCTTGTTCCCTTTGCTCCTTTTTCATATTCCCAGTTTCTTCTTTTCACTCTCGTTTCCTATTTCTTAGTTCCAAACTTCTCCACTTCTCTGTTTCAAGCTTTTCGCTGAAACTATTGTTCGTTTCCAGTATCGCCTAAGTCTATATATCGATTGTTTTCCTTCATTACCATAAAGGTAAAGAGGGTTGGAGTGAGTCAGACCCTTATATCTATAAATAAGAGAACGATATTACTAATTATAAAAGAGTTGAGAAATATACATACAAAACATCTTTTTAATAATACAAGAGTAAATAAATAAATAACAACATAGCTACGTTTAAAAATTTGTCTAATCTTATTCATAATTAGATATTGTATTATCACTACATTTATGTTCTCCTTTTTTATTTTCTTTTTTTAAGATAAATTATTATTTTCAAATTAGATAAATAGTCTATGAATTTCTTAAAAAAATATTATATATATATATATATATATATATATATATATATATATATTGGTGTATATAGTTCAAGAGTGTATCTTGTTTATCCAAGATATTGGACCAAAACACAATGAATTGATAATATGATGTGATTTTTCTTACTGGATGAATAAAAATTCTATCTAAATTTAAAAATACACTAAAATCCTAAAATACGTTTTATTTCATAATTATGACTCATATTACAGATCTTGCAATTGAGTGTAATAAAAATGAGAGAAATAATAGATTCTTAACTATAATTTTAGTATATTAAACGTCTAAAATGAGTAGTTTAAGAGATATGAATATAATTTAATTGACCTCAAACAAGAAACAAACCATGCGAATGACTTAATTTAAACATTTTTTAGAAAAAAACAATTATAGAACTTAAAAAATAAGACAATGACAATAAGACACTGTAAACTAAAAGTTTGATAAATAGAACAGGTTTAAGTAAGAACTTTAGTAAAGAATTTATAATTGTTGAAATAACATCATTATCTCATTGATTTTCAAAATTATAAATACAACCAGTTTGAAAAGCAAATAAAAGAAAATTAAAATTTTAATAATTTAAGCCTATAACATGTTTTAGTGATTAAATGAGATATAATTAAGTTTAAAGTCCAAGTTTCAAATCTTATTTTTTGATATATAAAAGGATTAAGTCTAATAATTAGATACACTTTATCGAAATATAATGATAAATTTTGTTAGAAAAAAAATCATTAATTTTTAGGATGACATTTTTTAGTTGTTATTGAATTTCATTTGATTAATAAGGATGTCAAATTGGATTAATTACTTGTAAGAGAGAATTAAACTTTAACGACCCGCAAATTCTACTTAAAATTTTCACTAAATGAAGGAAGAAAATAACTTTTTCACTTTAAGAGAGGTATAATAGTTCAGCTTACATATCCAGAATAGTTGAAAAAAAAAAAAAAACATCACACATCAAAAGTCCTAATTACATGAATGTTTTACACCTAATTACACAACACAAAATAACTCCTTCAAAGTTTAGGAGGTCTCTACTCCATTTCTCAAATCACTGGGTCTTACTACCACCTGTAAAAGATTTGCAATCTGCTCACATATATAACACGATCATAGCAGGATTCCAAAATATCAAGCACGCAACAAAAGTAAGGGTAAACTACCATTTGATTAAATATATAGAACAATGTAACATTGCAAACAACACTTATTCATTCACAAACATCCTAAAACTAGACTCACCGGAGAGTCTAGCATTTTACAATCACAACACACAACAAGACTGACGCTTTCCGGAAAACTATATGGAATTCAGACCAGTAAGGTAGACACCTAATGAGGAATATTTGGGGTCCCAGACCCTTAAAATTTCATGGCCTCAGGCCTATAATATCATTTTTTTCAACCTCTCATCAGAGCAACACATGCATAGGATTGACACTATGCTGTGTCTCCATCGACTTCCCACCACAGATATCTTCGTCTATATGACTAGGAACATCTTGGAAGTCTGGATACTCTATTACGCCTATCCATAATTCCATACACATTATTCTACACAATACATCAAATCTATCATTCAACAACTATTTCATACACATTATTCTACTCAGGGTTTTTAGAATCAAACCAACATCATGCAATTCAAAATGTCCAGTCCAACATTTAAAATTCTCAACTACTATGCAATCATAATTCACTTAAAACGGTACATCATTTCTCCTTCATACCACACAAACCAACCATACAATTTAGAAATTCAATGATACAAAGGTATCTATTTCAAAACAATTTACACTGCAAGGTTTCCACAGTGCTCACAATATCATATCACATATAGCACGTATATATATCACAAACATACTCTTATATACATATATCATGTATATATATCACAAGCATACTCTCATATCACATATAACACGTATATATGTCACAAGCATATTCTCATATCACATATAACACGTATATATATCACAATCATACTCTCATATCACATATTGCACGTATATATATCACAATCATACTCTCGTATAACATATAGCTAGTATATATATCACAAACATACTCTCATATCACATATAACACGTATATATATCACAAACATACTCATCATTCACTTTATTAAACTTTTCATCAATATAATACAACCACTAAAAACTAAAGAAGTCTCCCTTACCTAAGGGTGATGTTACACGTCAACCTAATTCCAATAAAACCTTAGGAATGTCAAAACACCTAAGAATTACCGTTCTCCTCCAATTTGAAAAAACCCTAAAAACGAAATTGAAGTAATAAACAGAATTAAACCCGAAAACATGAAATTGGGGAGTGACAGAGTAAGAGGAAATCTTTAATTCCACAATTAATTCCTTAAATTCTCAAATCCCCAAATTTTAACTAGCAAACACCCTAAAATTCAAACTTACCGAAACGAAATTCTAATCGGTGGGTCTTCTGCTGTTCTCCGCCGTGAGCACAACGACGGTCTCAGATTCTTGATCGGGAAAGAAGAAAGTCTTGATATGTAGGAGAGAAGGTATAACTGAGTTATGGAGATGAAAAATTTGTTTGTACGAAAAAGAAGAAAACCATATTTTCTCTCTCTTCTTCTTTTTACTTTTCTTTTAATTACAACATATTACATAAACAAATTGTTTATGTTATTAAAACCAACGAAGAATACATTATACATATATTATAAAGTTCTTTTAAAATAAATAGATTAATTTTAAGTTATTTTATATTTTATTTTTAGATTATTAATTTTATAATGATATAATAATAATAATTATTATTATTATAAGTATCACAAATTATTAAATAAAATATATTATTTAATTATTGATTATGAAATTATTAAAAAGTATTAATAAATAATTATTGAAATTTTAAATGATTAATAAAATAATTAAAAAGTATCATTAAAATAATTTATGGCAATTTTATAAATCTCCACTAAGATAAAGTTTGTAATAATTTGAAAGTATAACAAAATATTAAATGAAATTCAGAATATGAATGTATATAATTATATTATCTATTTGGATTTTTTTTAAAAGACTTTGTATTTATTTGTATAACAATAAATTATATTTGATATACTTTAAATTTATATCTCTCATTGCATCTAATTCAATTTTCTTAGAATAATTGCGTCTCAAGGACCTTTTGAAATTTCTTAATCAAGAAAAACGAAAAAAGAAAAAAAGAATAATAATAATAATAATAATAATAATAATAATAATAATAATAATAATAATAATATTAAAAAAGAAGAATACAAACTTAAAAATAGGTTATGTTAGTAGTATCAACTTGTTGCAAAAATTGAAGTAGCATTTTGTTAAAGAAATAAATTCTCTTTATTCTTAATTACACTTTTTCAAACACCACCAATAAAAATCGAAGCTCAAAATGAAGCAACAAAAGAAAGCAACATTATTTATTTTTGAAAAATAAGTTACTCGTATAACAATCATCTTTTCTAATACCCATATAAATAGAAAGAAAAAAAAGTAAAACATGTGCTCATTTCAAAAGAATACTTTTGCTATAAAAACAATTTTTTTTATTGATTCTCTATATACTATATTAAGATAAAAAATTATTTTACATAATTTATATGATATAAATTTTAAATAAATGAATGTAAAATTTAGTACGATAATAATTTTATAAATATTGAAAATACTTTGTACGTATAGCTTGTTTGAACCAAT